ACCAAATACCATGACCTTTCCTCCAAATGGCAAAGCACATTCCATGATATCCTGTAGGGACCTATCTAGTGTCTCGACGCACTGACGCTTGGTCATGGCAACTTCATCCCAAATAATCAAAGACGCCATACGAAGCAATTCTGCAGTGCCACTTTGCTTTGTAAAGTTGCACATGGTGTTGTCCCCAATTTTAATTGGAATTTTAAACCTGGAGTGTGCAGTGCGTCCTCCGGGCAATATTGATGCTGCTATACCAGAGGTGGCTGTTGCGATGACTATTAATCCTTTGGAACGAACTTTAGCCAGGAGCGCCTTGTATAGGAATGTCTTTCCTGTGCCTCCCGGACCATCAACAAAAAAAACTTGGCTCTTTTTGGCAAAGACATGCTGCATGATTTCATCAAACCCTTCTCTCTGCTCCTTGTTAAGAGAATCAAAAATATCTAGGTGTTCTTGGTCAACAGGGACATTCTGCTCCTCTCTAACCTCTTTCATCATGTCAATGGAGGTTGGACCCATATCGCAAATAGGTGGCAGACCATATTCTCTGATATCTTTGCCCATCGAGTGAAGCATATCCCGTATGTCCCTGAGCACCATTTGCCCCACTGTCGACGTGTTGCTATTGTCCCGGCTAAAGTCTTCACCTAACGCATCCTTATGCTTGTCCCATAGTTCACGTATGTTAGTGGCCTCGCCGAACACAAGCATTGTAGCAAACAACCTCCACAAGGCACACGGCATCTGGAAAGTGGTGGCCTCAGTCAAGCAGTCGTCAATTGATCTATCTGTCTCAATAAGCCCTCTTTTCTCACATGCCTCCCTAAAAGTAGAGTATGTTACACCAGCCACTGTTCTTAGATCCTCAAATGATGTTGCGCCTCTCACATGATTTAGTAGTCTACCCTACTAATGCACCAAGTTTTCTTCACTTGGTCCACTCAGAAAAGCGTCCCCTGCTGAGATGGCCATCCTAAATACACCCAAAAAATTGTACGCATAAAACCAATCACATTTGAATCAACCGTCCAGATCTGTCCTCAATATTCTCTCTCGTTACTCACGCGTGATCCAATGATCAGCATATTTTGTATGGTATTCCTCTTCCCCTCCATGCATCGTGGAAAAAGGAATATTGACACGAGAAAAATTGACGCACGAGAAATCGACGGCTCTTTCCACGCGGAGTCCGCCTCCGCTCGATCTCGCGGCTCCGGCACTCCACGGACGCGAGGCCATGGGCCACTCCAAGATCAGGATGCCCATGCCGTCCCTGTTCCGCCGCCGCTCCAAGTCGCCGCCACCGCAGATGCAGCCGCAGCAGGAAGGCAAGGTCAACGGGCCACCTGCGCCTGCGGCGACATCGGCAGAGGAGGAGATGGCGCGCGTGTTCCGCAAGTTCGACGCGAACGGTGACGGGCGGATCTCGCGGTCGGAGCTGGCGGCGCTGTTTGAGAGCCTGGTGAAGTTCAGGGAGGAGCTGACGAGGCCGCTGCAGGAGGCGATGGAGTTCATGCGAAGGGTGGAGTCGCAGCTCAACTCGCTTTCCATCTCTGGAAGATCGCTGCGCAATATCCTTTCCTCTGGTACTGAAATTGCTGCGCCTCATGCTCCTGTTACACTGATGATTTTTTTTGGATCGGATCGGTTGTCTCCTCGTGCAGTGATGCCTTCTTGTTGAGATCTTCATGTCCTCTTGGTTGCCCATCTATCATGCCCTCTTGTTCATCTTGCTGTCCTCTTTCTTGGTTGAGCATATGTTGTTGATTTTTTGCATCTAAAAAACAGAAAAAAAATTGATGTGGTTTCTCAGCAATTTGGCATCTATATAGTTTCCTTTTTAAGAGCATCTTGTTATACATGCTTGTTTTGAGTATGGCTACCTGCGCAGCGCAGATGAATGTCTTGTCTGTGCTTCATGTTTTAATGCGGCAGCATTCCTAATCAGGGTTTCCAAAAGAATCTTCTCCCTGCTTGCTTTTCCTGGCCATGCATCTGTGAGATTCTTCTGTCTGGCTTCCATCGATCTTTGCTTCTGCTGGAAAGGAATAGTCCTCACACATGTGCAGCAGTGCAGATTAATCTAGCACACGTGAAAGCTCTGTTTCTTTTCATACTACACTCCATCCGGCCCATTCCTTCCTTGCGTTCTGCTGTAATACTGCTGTAAAAGCAAACGATTGGAATCTATGGATCTCTACTAATTCGTGTTTCCACTGTTCGGAAATCGGAATCTATGAGCATTTTGCAGTAGTAATTCTTGTTTGCTATTTGTTTGATCCAGTGTGAATCTGATAATTTTTGCAGTGTTAGCTGGATCTCAGTAAGCTGACAATTCAGTTCGATTCAGATAATAAAGCTGTAGTAACCTGTTACTCCATGTTCCTTCTCCTTGAGGAATCCAAATCCTACATGCTTTTGTTAGCAGAACTCCACCTGGTTGCAAAAAATATTCGTCAGATGAGCTGGCGAACAAAATATTCATTAGGTGAATGAACTGGGTTATACTGTAGTTGAAATGCTGAGATGCAGTACGAATGAATTGGTTTATACATACAAATCAGAGTGGAGTTCAACATGATTCACACTTAAGATTGCAGTTCAGTTAGAAATCTGGAACTGTGTGGAATTTCCAAAGCAGGAGTATATGTTTATGTTTCCGAATGAGTAGCTTACACAGGATCGGATAGGTAGTCATGATAGTGGTAGGTTTGTACACCACCACCGACATTACATACAACATTCCTTGCCATTTATTTGTTTGTTAAGTTGCTTAGTAAAATAAGTACTGTTACTACCTCCGTTCCCCTAGCTCATACTAACCGGTTTGGGTTGATAGTTGTTAGCTGGGTACTCCCTCCCTTATAAATTATGTATAAGTTGCTTTGACTTTTTTTTATATCTATTTTACTATACATCTATAATAATATGTCTATATCAATACTCTTCTCTAATCTACTAGATCCATTTGTCTACTAGATTCGTTGCTTTTTCTTTTTCTCTTGAATTGTTGCTTCGTTTCCTGCAACAAGTTGGGAACGATTTGTCGCCTTCTTCTGTAACTTTTTGCAACTATTGCAGCTTCAGAGCTGCATATTGGATTGGACAGAGGACCAGAACAATGACGATGCCTTACTGTGGGTGGACGGGTGGAAAACCAGGAAGCTGCCAAGTGGACTGCCAGTGGTTCCTCAGTCCTCACGTCGCCGAGTGTACTGCTGGTCAGTTCATGTACCCTTCTGTCTCTGCCTCGCTCCCATGGCTTCGGTGGAATCTGCACATTTAGCTATGGCGATGTGTCGCTTTAGCTGCTGTGGAAATATTGCAATTTTTCCTATGTTGTCTTTCTAGCAAACTGCAGTGCAGACTGCAGAGTGATAATTTTAGTTTTGGCAGTTTCTATAATCTGAAAATTATTAATATGGAGAGGAATGGTTATTGCCCTTTGATGCATAGGAATTATATTATATGCTTTATTAAATATATGTACCGTGCTCAAGTCATGATTTATTCTATATATTTCTCTGAAAATAAACTGATTCTTTCCGTTTCATTTTTTCAATATATGTGATTATTTTTATGTATATCCCTGAACGAAGCCGTGGCGTTAGCCCGGGCACTATACTAGTACTCTTAGGAAGTATCTCTCCCCTTCAGCAGGGTTAGCATAGACAATCTGCCCTATCTGTGCTGACGCTTGTTTTCTTCCTTGCCACACTTTTTTCCCTACGATCCATCGGTAGTGTTCTGGAAATTCTCTATATAATATTTTCCTTGCTGCCCTTTCTTCACGGTTTTTACTAAAATACTCCGTCAGTGTTGTCCTATTAGAAGCCGGGCGACTCACAACATCCTCCAGGTTTTCGTCATCATTGTATGTCACAGACTGCATATTAGGCAAATGTAGCTGGAGCTGCAATACTGACGGATAAATTCCAAACATTGGGAATCCGAAGATCCTGTACACAGCTTCCGGTGGAGAAATGTACCTAGCATTCCTATACTGTTGTATCTCGTTGATGACACCATCATCCCTATCATTTTGGTCTGCATTTACCGAGAATGATGCTTGGTCGTGGCCTTTATATACGTACTTAAATAGATACTTCACTGCTTTAATGCTTGCGCATGCCTCAACATTTATGTGACAGTTGTATCTAAAGAGTAGACCAGGGTTGTATGGCAGCACCCACCTGTTATCTAACTCTGCTCTCCTGATCCTGACTCGTCGTCCGTCATCCCTTCTCCGATAGGTTGGATAGGAGTCCTTTCCTTGTTGGGTCGCCTCACAGAACTGTCTAGGGTATTGAAAGCGACACTCTCCATTTACCATGCATGCACAGTGTTTGTTTAGGACGCCACATGGGCCATGAAGCATATGGCTGATAACCAGATCATGCAACTCTGGGTATTTGTCCTTGTCTGGTATCTCTGCCGAAATAACTCGATCATATGCATCTGGGGTTGTCAACTTACTCCCTGATTTCATGATCAGCAATAAATGCTCATGTGGCAGGCCCCTTTTCTGGAACTCGGTAACATGAGCGTATGCTGCAACTTCACCAAAATACTTCCTCTTGATTAGAGTCTCCTTCAGATCACACAACTTTGCCCTGTACACTCTTGCAACCAGTTCTGGCCTATCTTGTGGGTCCTGCCCCGGTTCGAGATTGCTTGTTATCTCTTCCCAGTAGGGATTGCATGTCATGGTGATGAAGTAATCAGGCTTTCCAAAACGCTGAACAATAGCCATAGCATTAAGGAATCTTTGCTGCATGTCTCGATCGCATCCTGGGAATGATCTTGGCAGCACAATTCTCTTGCCAACCTTAGAACCTTGTGTCTCTCCAGCAGAGATAACATATCCACAGCCCACTGCTGGAAAAGACGTCCTCCGAATAATAAAATGTTAAAAAGTCCCTGTCTAACTTGCAACTTGAAGCAGTAGTATTCTCGTGCAGTTACATATTTTGCGGATTGTGCTGCATCTGCAACTCCAGCTAGCACGTCACCTTCTTGCACATCATTGTCGCCTTCTTCCACATGATTTTCGTTGTTATTATCAGCTGCAAGATACACAAAACATTAGATATAATGTTATAATTAGTATTATAGTATCGAATCAGTAGTACCAGTATAATAGCAAAAAAAATATTATAGCAAATAATACCATGATTACCACCAGTAGTCCCTTCAGCTCTACCATTAGCACTATTAGTAGAAGCCGTGGTTGCAGATGGTGGAGTGAATGGATCCTCACTGTACGGCATAAATTTGTTCCATCCTGTTTCCCCTCGTGGGTTATATACAGGATAAGCTAAGGCGTCATAACAACCATGCCATGCTCGGATATACTGCGGACGACGATCGGTCTTTCCATATACAACCACACTTCTATCAAAACATCTCTGTGGATCGTTCCCATCCATCCAAATAGCAGCAACTTGGGATGCCATTGGGGCATTGTACCTTCTTTGGTCAGGCGTGACATTTGTATTGAGTTCAATCTTGTACTCATCCAAGTTTGGAAAATCCCCATTTCTCCTAAAAGTATGAACATATGGGTTATCTTGCAAGATTGCTAGGATAGTCCGAATGATGTTGATATCAAGATCAGGGGACCTTTTGACTCTATGTGATAAGGCCTCATCTTCTGTATCATAAAAGTAGAGCTGCAAATGCCGAGCACCGCGGCCACCTGGCACCAGGTGGTCAAGACGGTGGTACAACATACCATGCACTCGAAATGTATAAACACCGGTCCGTGCTGGACTTTTATATCTGTCGTCAGTGGTAACCCCTAGACTTGCAAAGGCGAAATGTGAGTTGATATAACGTATATGTTTTCTGAAATATTTTGCATCATCGTGCACTTGACTTGTGAACAACCTTTTGAGCTCTGCAGGAACATCTGGTATATGTATCTGTACTTTTCCTTTTCTACAACAAAACCCGGGTGTCTCACCCTGAAACCTCATCGCACCACAGTAACTGCATTCAGGGACCTTTCTCAATTTATGTCGTTCTGGCAAGTTCTGGTAGATGTAGTCATATGGATCGTCATGTGTCACACTGTTTGCAGCTGGACCCTCTGGAGGCACGCGATATGACTCATAATCATGACCTGTGTGGACATTGTAGTAATTACTTTCACTTAATATATAAATATTTGGTAAAATGAAGCTGCATTTATAACCAGTAGGGATAGATGTTGTCGTAGTACCTTGCGCATGTCGGTGAATGACCCCATCATCATCGTATAAGTTTTCATTGTGCAATCCATGGCCACCGTCCATGGCATCCTCATCACTGTCCCAACCATCATGCACTGGTTCAAATAGTTCACGGTCGAATTCTTCTTCATTGGATTGGACATGTACATGGTTGTTGCGTAGCTCAGGTATTTGTCTTTCTGCATAATAGATATTTAATATTTTTATTTTAATATTAAGTAATATAAGCAAAGTACGAAATAAAATATATAATAGCAAAAAAATCTTGTGGCTGATGACCAGACCTGCCTCGCCGGAAGTAGGTGGGGCTCTACGCGCTGGAACATAATTATCATTTCTGTGTAACCAATCCATAGGCTCTGCTAACTCGCTGGTTTCCATTATTGTCGCTAATCCAGCGCTCAAATTCGCACCTTGAGATATGAATATAAACAAAGGTTCATGATATATCAAGTGGTGGATGAAATCCTTATGGTCTCGGATATTACTAACCTGCCAGCGAGGACGATGGCACTATTTGGTTGATAGCAGCTGGTGTGCTGTTATTTTGCAATTGAGCCTTCTGCCGTGCTCGATATTGACGTAGGTACTCACGTTGTCTCCTTTTATTCTCTACTCTCTGCTCATCGGTCATCTCTGCTCTTCTCTTTCGTTGTTGCGCGTTTCTTTCGCCCATCGTATGGTTACTAATATCTGCGGGGTCACGTTTGTGAGATTACAAAAAATAAATAATGAGACTCTTTCACATAATAAACACGTATCTAATCTTTACCGCTAGCCACTGATAGAGCAGTGCCTATTGCCGTTGAGGTGCCAATGCCACCATGGCTATGATTCCCATGTGCGGTTGGTTGGATATTTTCCTTATCCAGTATAATTGGCGAGTTTTGGTCTATCTGAGAACGATTAGTACCTGCATTTTTTTGGTCCATCTCATAACGTTGGTTTGAGTATATTAAGAGCCTGAGTAATAATAAACTAAGCAAAGAAAAATTATACCGGGTGCAGTCAAAACACAAGAAGCGCTATTGTTTTGGGACTCGGCCTTCTTCCGTTCTCGGTAGTGACGTTGGTACTCACGTTGTTTCCTCCTCATCTCCTCCCTTTGTTCGTCGGTCATTTCAGCTCGCCGAATTCGTTGCTGCAAGTTCCTTTGTTCCCTAGTCCGCCGGGCCTCATCTATATGGTCACAACACAGGAAATCAATTAGCCAACCCAAAGTTATATATTACTCCATCGGTCTCTGTAAAAATCAATTTGTAGAGTTATTGTAAGTCAAACTTTTTAAACTCTGATCGAATGTCTAGAAAAGAGCATTAAGATTTATGGTACCAAATTAATACAATGTAAAATCATACATGTGATGTTGGTGATGTCGCTTAGTGGATCGTGTGTATCTCTCGACGTAGACATTTAGTTAATGTATCACAAGCAGTCTGTGATGACGCAGGACCTTTGATTTTTATTTATAGTACTTATTACAAATGGATAGTCAATGTCAGCACAAAATATCAGAAAACCAGAAATCAATTGTTCTCAAATTATTTGTGACCAATCCATCAACAAATGTGATAGGCGACAGCAAGATTTCTGATAGTATCGCAAGGAAGCCAGTAAACTTTAGCAGCACAGTGCCATGCACCAGTCCATGCACGCACACACGCATGTTCACCTGGCTGGCACCAGTACGCACACACGCACGCTCACCTGGCGACAGAGACGGTCCACGGCGTGACGAGCTGCTCCTCGGTGCTGCTGTCCTCGCCGTATGTAGGTGTCTTCGACGGTCGCCGGGCTGTGAGCGGCGTTCGTCGTGGGCACCGTGACCTTGTCGACTGGAGAAGTGCCCTCGCGAACGGACTGCAGCCTCTTGCCGACGCCTGATCTGAATGCCAGGCTCGGCAGGTCTCGCCGCGGCGTTCGCGGCACTGGTTCTGTGTCCTGGTCGCCGCGTACGCCGTCATCGTCCGCCGTCGTTTGCGGGTCTGACGGAGCTGTGCTGTTCGACAGTTGGGTTACCACTTGAGATGAGCATTAAGAAATGAAAACTGAGGTATGCACATTGACTCGATGAAGCATGCTGATTTGAAAGCATGAATACGCTCCATGATGTTCGGCTTTACTCCCGCATTCCATCATGTGTGGTCCTTGAAATTTCAGTACAATTATGTATGTATGACAGCCATTGTTTAGGGTTATCCTGTATCACTATTTAAAAGCCTAGTCTATTGAATATTTTCATCTCATGAGTCCTACGTGTCTTGATAAATTGTGAATACGTTCTTCCTTAGGAATGAACTTGATGTATCTTTTGAAATTTATATGGAGTCTCTTTTTATTTATAGCATGAATACTGGTTATTTAGTTCTCAGAACTGAAATTGTCTGCTATGCTTCTTGTGAAAATTCTCATCTAGTTAACATCTTTTCCTCGACCAGTACGGTTAGAAGATGTGCTTGTATGATCTATTTGTTCTTGGTGAGGAACTGACATTTTTTCTCAAACACGCAGAACAGTTGTATGCCTTTAGGCATCAAACTCTATGGCATGAAAGGTGAATGGTATCAATGTGTTCATGTGTTAAAGCTATCTGAGACTCTGAGTGAATCCTTTCTCCATACTAATGGAAATAATGTGAGTGAAATAGTATCAGTAATTCTGAAGTCTGAACACATAGATGTGCTTGTATGATCTATTTGTTCTTGGTGAGGAACTGACATTTTTTTCTCAAACACGCAGAACAGTTGTATGCCTTTAGGCATCAAACTCTATGGCATGAAAGGTGAATGGTATCAATGTGTTCATGTGTTAAAGCTATCTGAGACTCTGAGTGAATCCTTTCTCCATATAATGGAAATAATGTGAGTGAAATAGTATCAGTAATTCTGAAGTCTGAACACATAATATTCATTTTAGTTTTCTCTGTTTATTTCTCTCCATGTCATGAGTTAGACAGAAAAGCAAAATCATTAACTTTAGCTTCTCATGTTTCATTAACAATGAATTTCAAAACATCCTGAATAAAAAGGGAGTGAGGGCAAACCTGGATATTTTTGGTGCTTCCTCTACAATGTCACAGAAAGGAGTTAGACAGAAAAGCAAAATCATTAACTTTAGCTTCTCATGTTTCATTAACAATGAATTTCAAAACATCCTGAATAAAAAGGGAGTGAGGGCAAACCTGGATATTTTTTGTGCTTCCTCTACAATGTCGCAGAGAGGAGAGAAGCAAGCGTCTGTCACGTCGGGGACACGAAGATGAGGACAGGGCCATGTCCTTTCGTCGAGGACTCTGTCAGTGGACGTAGGGTGAGGACGATGGCGTGTGCGCAAACCTCGACGGCCCTTTCCCCTTCTCGGTGATCTGTCAGCCACGGATCGGGGCGGATCGCAGGCATAATACATGTACACACATCTAATTAGATCAGACTGGAATACAAATAGCCAATTATCTTAAGGATTCGGTGCTTGGTTTCGCACATCAGGAAGCGATTGGCACACCTGGTGATTAGTTTGGGTATGGTGTTCGGTTTTGCACAGCAGGAAGGCATTGGCACACCTGCATCGGCGCGTCGGGTCGGCAGCGGGCGTTCATGGAGGCGGCGGCGTCCGGCGGTGTTGCTCGTGACGGCGGAGCGAGAGAGAGGGCAAGGTCTGCGGTATCACAGGCTACGGGCGCGGACGTGCGATGGAGGTGAGCCGCGGTAATGGGGGAAGGGAGCTGGGGGTGCGGTGAGGGGGTGTGAGAAGCCTCCATCAAACATCGTTTCTGGGCCTTTGGATTTGACGTAGATCTATTATGAACCCTTTGATTTTGATAGAGACAAGTTTTCAATTATAGTGGAGATATAGTATCCCGCAATTGTTGCTTTGTCAGACCCATGGCTTCGGCTTGTTTGACAAATTCTGTTTTTACCTGGGTAAGTACTTGCGGGCTAGTCTGTTTGTTGGATTTATTTTTTCTTTGCCGTTCGGAGTCCGATGGATATGTCAGCTTTCACGGTGGGTCCTTTAAACCTTTGAATAATGCCAGTTGTGCTTTCTTGGAAGGTGGGTCCTATTCGGCAGGCCATAAACGATTATGAATTATTTACTGTTGGTTGGTTTGGTGTGAGAGAAAAATACTATTCCAACTTATAATCCACGATCGTATACGAGCAAACGAACGGGCTGAGGGATGACGGTCTTTAGTGTCATTGTATACTCTTATAAAGCCAAACCTCACTAGATGATTTCTTTCTCATGCAAGGTGTCCACATTATTCCCCACTAAGTGATCTCACTAAATATTATATCTCTTCATGCAAGATGTCCACATCATTTCCCACTAAATCCATGTCATCCTTTATTGATTACAAAAAATATCCATGCCATCTCTATCATGTGAAAATACTTTAAATCTTTAATTCATTAACATACAAGTCATCTACATATGCTATTTGTTCCATCACATATTTCTCTATAATGTAATCAAATATTCTATTAGTTTTTCTTCTACTAGCTTACCGGTTTTTACCAGATCGGATACAATAAAATAACATGCAAGTCAAATTCATATATATATGCATACACAGTATATTGAATACCATATAGTAATGCTATGTATATAATAGATTTATTTTTTAAAAAATCCCGCGGCAACGCGCGAGGTATACTTCTAGTTAAAAAAAAGTTAAGCCATCTGAGTGTTAATTAAAGCTGATGAGGTCCGTCTTCCTCCATAAGAAAGAAGCCTTCCTCTCTGACCCGCCACTCTTTTGATGACACTTTGAAGGCATTTTTTTTTGAGAAGTCAACGGGAGGGGGGGGGTGGAATCTCCCACCTGATTTCATTTCATTGTGGCTCTTTTCGGAGCCAAATGTTAAGATACATTGGTTCAGACAGAATCGCACACGTTGAACACATATCGTCTTCTCTCGATCTGGATCCGATCTGAGAGTGCCAGCTGCATGATTGAATAAAAATCGTCCGAAGGGAAGAGAGACCCCAATGAAGCCCATTAATTGATTATTACATTGTACTAGTATATAATGTATGTTGTGTTCTCTTCAGATCCGATGCTATCGGAGGAATCGATATGGCCAGTTCGAATCTAGTACTATGTAGGAGTATATTAATTTGAGCATGCAGCCATCGAGCTTGGAAAACATTAATGACAGAATATATATATATATTGCAATATATACTGTAGATCGATGATAGAATGATATCATATCATATAGGAGGAGTATATATATATATATATATATATATATATATATATATAGAGAGAGAGAGAGAGAGAGAGAGAGAGAGAGAGAGAGAGACGCACATGCATGGGCCTTGTTGTAGTATCCAAATCCAACCCACCATGATATATATTCGATCATAGATAGAGTAGCTAGCTAGTATAGTATGCCTAGTAACTATCCAGCGTCGACGACCATGGCCGCCGCTCCTGCGAGGTTGTTGTGCCTCAAGTTCGCCGTCGGAGCGTCTATGCTGGCGCTGCTCCTCGCCGCCGTCCCGCCGCCGGCGGAAGCAGCTGCTGGCGTCAAGTTACAGGTCGACCGTCGCCAGGTTAACATATTATTAGTTATCATCAGCATGTATATATAGGCTAGCTAGTTACCATTATTGTTGTGTTTTCATAGTAGCTTTTATTTGTTGGGTGTATTATATATATTTGCATTGCCAATAATCATATCAGTCGTTAACACATGACAATATACATGACAATATACATGCATCATGCGTGCAGGTGGTTGTGGACAATGGCATGGTGCAGGTGTCGCTGTCCACGCCGCAGGGCCACATCACCGCCGTCCGCTACAACGGCGACGGCCAAAATCTGCTGCAGTACAATGCCAGCCACGTAAACTCGGGAGGGTATGCCCGGCCGTGCATAGCTAATTCCTCTGTTTTATGTGTCGTTTTAGTTTTCATACAAGTCGATCAATAGACCGAATTTGCAAAACAAAACAAAAATATATCAAGGATGATACAAAAAAATTAATTATAAAATGTACTGTCAAAATATATACTTCGTGGTAGATTAAGGAAACTAATTTGTGTTGGACAAAATTAGAGAAGTTTGATCTTGTACAATATACAAAATTAAAATTAAAATGATATATTTTAGGCGGGGCGGATTTTCTAATCTATGTTGAATCCATATTTCAAGTCTCATTGGTCCTGTCGAACCAAAATCTTTTCGAACTCTCTTGCAGGTACTGGGATGTTGTTTGGAACTACCCTGGCTCATCAAAACTAAAAGGACTGATCGATATGTGAGTGTCTGATCGATGTTGCTCATTACTTAGCACCTACTCCCTCCTTTTGAAATTACAAAACATTTTAGCTTTTCGAGATATATTATATTTTACTATGTGTCTAAACATATATAGTGTATATCTAAAATATATAGCAAAAACTATATATATCTAAAAAAGTTGAAACGTCTTATAATTTGAAATGAAGGTGGTAGTAAATTACTAAATATAAGGTAGGTCATTCATTTAGCTGTGAAATCATCTTGTGTAAACGCGGAAATGTAAAACTTTCGTTGGTTTCTGCTGCCATGGAGTTGTGGATGTAGGCAAACTCAACATCACCGACGGAAGTAGATGTTGCGGGGTTGACTTCTTTTATGGCCACATGGGGTGCTTTAACGGGACAGAGTTCGCTCATGCGTTAAATAATAAGATAATAATAACTATTTAGTACACAAGACACGCTAAATAGTTGTCTAAGTCAAACTATTTTAGGATTGTGCTAAGTTAAAAAATTTAAGTTTAACTGACTTTATAGAAAAAAAAGTACTAACATTTATAGCACCAAAGAAGCATAATATAAAAGTATATCTTATTTTGTATCTAATTATATTGATTTTGTGTCATAATTAAATATTAGTGCCTTTTTCTGTAGAATTTTGTCAAATCTAAAAAGTTTGACTTTGAACCGCTCTAGAAGTTGATTTCTTTCCGGATAGAGGGAGTAACACTTTCCGTTTGGTTTTCTAGAGATTTGATAGACTGAGATGTTTAGCTTTAACTTAGCTCAATACCACACTTATTACTTCCTCAATTTCATATTATAGCGCATACTAGGATTTAATTTGGCTTAGTCAAACTATTTTCTTTCTATTTGTTTGAAACAAACTATTTTCTTTCTAATGAAGTGCATATAACAGTTGTATAAATAGACCCATCACCCATGCATCGTCTTTTCATAGAGTTAATTTATAATTTGTAGCAATAGGTGATTAATTGTAAGATTAGTATTAGTGAATGGTCAAATTAAAGTATACATCTAAGAACTTATGCTAATTCAACTTATAGGAAGAAGCGAATGGAGTATTCAGGAGTACTTATTATTTTTTGAACGAATTTTATTACTTATTACGCGTGATGAAGAATGCGGCAGAATCAGTACTGACCTATTTATTATATGCTTGTTGCGACCAATGCATGCATCATGCAGTGTTCGCCTAAACGACCTAAACGGCCACTAAATGGTAAACGGTGGTAAACTGTTTTGTTTAGGGGGTAAACGGAAATTAAACGGTTGACCGTTTAAACGGTCAAAAAAAAACGGGAAAAACGGTCTAAACAGCCTAAACGGAACGGAGATAAACTGTATTAAACGGGCTAAACAGCTGTTTAAACGGCTGTTTAGGCGAACACGAGGTAAATCTAGTTCAGTTTTGTATGGATAAATTTGTATACTTAAGTTTATTATATTTATAAATGTGTAGACTTTATATGTTACATGCATAAATATCTATATTTTGTTCTTTTCACAAGCATAAATATATATACATACCAAAATAATTGATTTTTACTCGGATAAATTTGTATAAATGCTAGAATACTTGATTTTTTACATGCACATATATAATTATATGTATTTTTTAAAAGTACAAAACCGTTTAACTTCGTTTAAACACCGTGTAAACAGCCTAAACGCTAAACGAAGGACGACCGTGTAAAGACCATTTACCGTTTAGAAAAACATTGGCATCATGTTTAATTTGGCCTTGGTTGAACTATTTTTTTTCTGCAAAAGGTTTGCGCATCTTTGTATTAAGATCGAGAAATAGTAAAAGTTACAACGATGCGCTATGAACATGGCACACTAGGGTTGGGGTGTTAGTGTTATACAATCGGCTCTGCCCTTCCTAGCGTAAGAAGATCATGGGCTATTACTCGTTAATCATACTACGTAGCCATCATCGCCGATCAGACGTGCTGGCATGTGCGGCGTCTCGGTCGCTCTCCTTGTGGGTCTGGGAAGAGCTGTCGCATTGCCTCAGCATGCGAGAGGTTGAGCTGGTCGACCAAGATGCTGTCGTAGGCGTCCATGGACGCCGTGGAAGGCCTCGTCTGCCCGTCGAGGTAGCCCATCCGCTTCATTACCAGCCCCTCTCCCTGTTTCGAAACCGGGACGCATGAAAGCGGTTGAGCGGCAATCCTCCTGCTGCGAATTGGCAACTTTGGTCGTGCCTCTACATCTATTTGAGGCGGCGGCGGCGACGACACCTTACGCAGGATCTTTGCGGTGAACCGCTTCAACCTCATGGTGGCGGAGCTTGCGTGATCCTCAGTAGGTGTGGTTGTGTCCGCGGTTGGGGGTGGCACTGGGGCTTTGTGGGCACACCTCGTCATCCACGATGGTGGGCTATCCCCCTCGTGGTGACAAGGTAGGGGTGGCCACGCCCTCACCTGGGGGTATGTTGTCGGAGCATGCCTCGACCTCCATGGCGTGTCCCTCCCATTGTGGCATGATTGGTGGCTGCCCCTGCTCCAGCAACAGCAGAGGCGAGGCCATCGTCCAAGCCTTCACCAGAGAACTGGTGTCCACCAACGATGCATCCTCATCCTGAGGAGCAGTCGTCGTGGTGGGCGAACACCCAGGCACTGGTGCTTCTGGTGGCCGTCTGACAATGCACTTGTGAGGTTCCATGCTCACACATAACTCCAACACTAGCGGATCTGGCACGTGGAGGTAGTGTGTAGTGGTAGAGGTAGGAGCATCGTCGGCGGGGGTGTTGGGTGTGTCCTTGCTCGCCGGCTCGCTCCGTCGTCGCCTTCTGCTAGAGCCCCCTACGGCCCCGACCGTACTCGGTGGGCTGCCATGGGGCGTGTGCTGGGGGGCCGGTGGCTCATCTCCACGAGCAATGCCACCCTTCGCCTTCGTCGTCGCAGCAGACCTGATCTGCTTGCAGTCCCTAGTGAGGTGGCCAAAGTTGTGGCAACACAGACAACGTTGTGGCAACCAGCAAGTCGCTACTCTGTGCGAGTAGGAGAGACAGTTAAAACATCTATCGCGAAGCTCTGCGGGCATCCTCCTAGCCTACAGGAGCTACTCTTTGCGAGGCTCAACTAAGGCGGCTGCGGGTCACGTCTCAGGCCAGGGGAGGATCTCCCGCCACCCATCAGCGTTGGGAGCAGAGACCCGTCCACGCTGGTCGAGGCGTTGTCGGGCAGGGACGCGGCCCTCCACTGGCTGAGCAGGTATGCCGGGCACCAGCTAGGGACGCGGCCGACTGCGACTCCGCTGGCTTTGTCCATGTCCCTGTCGTCCCGTGTCCGCTCCGCCACGACCTAGAACCACTGAACGAATCTGGGCGTGCGGCGGGGACGCAGTTACCGGCTTCGTCGGTTGATGGACAGTATCCAGGTAGGTTGTGGGGTGGTCATCGTCGGACTCCTCACCGTCGTCATCCGCCCACCGACGACGCTTCATGCGCCCTCCCGAAGGCGGGTAGAACGGAGCCACGTTCGGCAAGAGCGTGGATCCTGGCGTCAGCGACGGCTGTGACGGAGAGGGGATGTACGGAGGCGCTCTAGAGCAGCATCCTGCGGTGGTGGCCTCGACGCTGCTGGTGGCTACGGCTATGGGGCACGGCATTGCCGGCGACGTGGACGGGGCGGTGGTGGAGCCCGGCCTCGGTGTCGTCTGTGGTGTTGAGGGCTGCGGATGGGCTGGAGTGCCGGAGCAGAAGGTGGCCGCGGCAGCGAAGTTCGGTGACGCTGGCAGCGGCGACGACTGCGGCGACTGGGGCAGAGTCGCGGTGGCGGCACAGGAGTGGCCCGATGTAGCCCGCGGAGGAGGAGAGGCGCCGGCGTCGATTGCTTCATCCGGGGGCGCGCGAAAGGTGCGACGCGCCGTGCCGAGTCTCCGCAGCGGCCACGACGTCTGGCACTGGCGAACTGGACCTGGCTGGCGAGCCCTCTAGCTAAGGGAGGGAGGAGCGTGGGGTCTACTCCGCCGCGGGCGGCGGTGGCGAGGGCACGCATCGGGACGTCGCGGCCGCAGATCCCAACAGCTCAGGCGCGAGCGCGCGTCTCTTGGTAGCGTGGGTCGCGTCCCCGGGTCCAGCGCGAGGGAGAGTTGGGGAGGGGGCGGCGGGCGCAGCGGGTGGTGAGGGCTCCGTGGAGGCCTGTTCTGCGGCGGCTAGCGTCGCCTGTGGCGGTGGGAAGGGAGGCCCAGGTGTTGCTCGACGCGCGCCCCTAGACCGCAGCTCGCGCGAGGGAGAGGAAGATAGGGGGCGGAGGACGCAGAGGGGGGAGGGAGGGAGGGGAGGGGGCCACCGACGGCGGCGGCACGTGGTGGAGGGCGGCTGCCAGGGGTGGCCGCCAGCCCTAGGGAAGCCCGATCTGCAGGCCCATCCTAATTCGGAGTGCTTAAGGTGGCTGGGGAGGGAGCAGGGAGGTGGAGGGAGGGGAAGGGGGTGGGGGGGGGGGCCGGCGGCGCCGGGGAGGCGGCTGGCAGCGGTGGCAGTAGGGGGTGGGGGCGGCCAGGGGAGCCGCCAACCCTAGGGGTCGCCCAGTGGGAATATTCTTGTGATCAAGTATTACCACATGTAACTCAACAATAATTTAGGGACCAGCCGTTTGGTTGTACTACTATTATAATGATTTTCAAAGGCAGTCATTTTGTATTTACAGAGGTGGTCATGGCGTCCGCCTCCGGCCAATCGTCATTGTTACTCGGCTACTTTCGAAGATAGATTAGGTGACCACCTTGATCTGTAAGAAGGCGGGCACGGACCACCTCGATGATTTTCAGAGGCAGTCGTCTTAGAACGCCCGTCTCCATAAATGATTTTCAGAGACAGTCATTTTTCTGTAGGCCCTTTGACCATTTATGGAGGCGGTCGCTAGGTGTGCTCGCCTCCATTAATCAGAGAGCCTGTCTCCTAAAGTTATTTTTCTAGTAATATTGGTTGGAAATTTCTTCTCTCTTTCCATGATTGCAAATCATCCTTTGCATTCTCTAGCACAGCAGAAAGATGCATATACATGATTGCAATTTTCATTAATTAATCATTGCTGATTAATTTATGATCACAGCTAGCTAGCGTAGCGACAAATTAAATAAGGGGTTTGATACACATATGGAATGACTATATATTATACAGGTTGGATGGTACAGAGTTCCAGGTCGTATCCTCAGATGAAGAGCAAGTGGAGCTTTCTTTCAGGAGCTCGTACAATCCATCACATCCACATAGCCTCCGGCTAAACGTAGACAAGAGGTATATGCATGCTGCTGTGAAATTAATGTTTGTTTCCAATTAAACGGCATGCCAATAATATATTTAGTTTTTTGCAAAAATCAATAATGTTACTTACTGTTGTTGAGGCAATTAAGCAATGATGAGTACTGATGAGATGGACGACTGCATAATCATGCACAGGCTTGTGATGCTGCGAGGCAGCTCTGGGTTCTACTGCTAACGCCATTTTTTAGCATCCCCGGGAGTGGCCAGCGCTCAACATCTCCGTGGCTCTCCTCGCCTTCAAGCTCAACGAGGACAGGTTCCGTTACATGGCCATCTCCGAAGATATTCAGAGATACATGCCGAGTGCGGCGGACAGGGATCCACCACGTGGCGTGCCGCTGGACTACAAGGAGGCCGTCCTGCTGGTGGACCCCGTGGAGCCGGAGTTCAGAGGTGAGGTGGACGACAAGTACCAATACTCGCAGGACAACAAGGACAATACGGTGCACGGATGGATCGGCGGTTGCGGCGTCGGCTTCTGGGTCATCACTCCCAGCAACGAGTTCAAGAACGGCGGGCCGCTCAAGCGGGAGCTCACCTCCCACACCGGCCCCATCTCCCTCTCAGTAAGCATAATTAAGCATGCATGCAACTAAATAAGCATCCATCCATCTAGATCGATCTAGCTGCCGTCCATATATATCATATCCAAGCAAATGTGTCATGCATCCATCCATCCGGCAGGTGTTTCTAGGACCGCATTACGTGGGCAGGGATATGGTGGTCAATTTCGAGGAGGGCGAGTACTGGAAGAAAGTGCTGGGCCCCGTCCTCGTCTACCTCAACTCCGGCCACCACCCGCAGCTGCCCGGATGCGGCTCCAACGATGGCAATAATGTCAATTATCTCTGGGAGGACGCTAAGGCGCAGGCGCAGGCGGAGGTGAGCAAATGGCCTTACAGCTTCCCACGGTCACCGGACTTTGCGAAGGCAGGCGAGAGAGGTTCTGTCACAGGGAGGCTCTGAGTAAGAGACAGGTACAGGTCCTACTCCTACGACGATAAGCAAGGGCAAAGGCAAGGCGAAGGCGATGGCGCGGCGTGGCAGCCAGCTGGGTTGGCTTATGTCGGCCTCGCCTCACCTGGCGAACCTGGCTCCTGGGCCACGGAGAGCAAGGTATGTATGTTTGTATGCATGCATGCATCTCAACATTTCATTTGCTCATTCCACTACATACAATACAATTGGTTGTGTTACGATTTGTGTCATCCAATCCGACTTAACATTCCAACAACCATGCAAGCAGAGGTATCAGTTCTGGACGAGGGCCACATCCGACGGCAGCTTCAACATCGCCAATGCCCGTGAAGGAGTGTACAACCTGTACGCATGGGTTCCCGGGATCCTTGGAGACTACATGCACGCCTCTCCTGTAACCATAGCCGCGCCACCAGCAGCAGGTGCCATCGTCAATCTTGGTGACCTTGTGTTCGAGCCTCCAAGATCAGGCCCACGCTGTGGGAGATCGGCGTCCCGGACCGGACGGCGGCGGAGTTCTACATCCCTGACGCTGACCCAAAGTACTCCAGCAGGCTCTTTCTCACCAAGGACAGGTACCGGCAGTATGGTCTGTGGGCACTACGGCAAAAACGTGATTTGCCGAGTGCAAAAATCTTTGCCGAGTGCTAAATTTCGGACACTCGGCAAAGACCTGCTTTACCGAGCGCCACACTCGACAAAATATGGCACTCGGCAAAGAGGCATTTGCCGAGTGCTAGGCACTCGGCAAAGATCTGCACTCGGCAAAGGCAGGCACTCGACAAAGATTGGTAGGGGCCTAACGGCACCCAGCGGTGTTCTCTTTGCTGAGTGCCCCCCGTTTGACACTCGGCAAAGAATTTATTTTGCCGAGTGCTAAAACTTGGCACTCGGCAAAATATTTTTTTTTTGGTTTTTTGCCACCAATTTTTTTTTGAAGCTTCAGTACACTACCACAAACAACATGTTTAAATTTGGGACATTTTCATTGTCTTTTGGCATATTTCTATAGTTTATTTTGTTTTGTTGAATTTTTCCAAAAAATGTAAGTTTGAACTACAGGTGCATCGAATAATGGATTACATTCGTTCAAAAAATGTTATCCTTGTTTCTTAGTGTAAATTTAGGCTAAATCCAGGATCTGTCTCGAAATTTCGATCAACGTGCTCACGGGGCAACGCCGCCAACTTGCGTGGGAGTGATTTTTTAATTGTATAAAATGCGAACGAATTCCGAAAATCATGAAAACTTGGGAGTGGTTTTTCCTGATACGGCGACAACTCGACAAGTTTCATAATTTTCGGAATTCGTTCGCATTTTATACAATTAAAAAACCACTCCCACACAAGTTGGCGGCGTTGCCCCGTGAGCACGTTGATCGAAATTTCGAGACAGATCCTGGATTTAGCCTAAATTTACACTAAGAAAGAAGGATAAGATTTTTTGAACAAATATAATCCATTATTCGATGCACCTGCAGTTCAAACTTACATTTTCTGGAAAAATCAACAAAACAAAATAAACTATAGAAATATGCCAAAAGGCAATCAAAATGTCCCAAATTTAAACATGTTGTTTGTGGTAGTGTACTGAAGCTTCAAAAAAAATTGGTGGCAAAAAAACCAAAAAAAAAATTGCCGAGTGCCGCCCAGCTGGCACTCGGCAAAGAGCTGCTGAATTTTTTTTAAAACTTCGCCGAGTGCCAGATCACGACACTCGGAGAAGAAAATTGACTTTGCCGAGTGCCGCCGATCTGGCACTCGGCAAAGCCGCCTTACCCCTTCACCCGTGCTCGGCCGACGCGCTCTCTCTCTCTCTCATTTCTCTCTCCCTCTCACCTCTCTCTCCCTCAGCCGCCACCGCCGCACCGCGGCGCCCGTCCCGGCCACCGCGCCTCCCCGTGTGGGCCCCCGCAGCCTCAGCCCCGGCCACCACGCCTCCCTGTGCGGGACCCCGCGGCGCCCGCCCCGGCCACCGCGCCACTACAGAAGAGAGGAGGAGGAGGCAGGGGAGAAGAGAGGAGAAGGGGAGAAGAGAGGAGGGGAGAAGAGAGGAGGAGAAGGACAAGGAGAGGACAAGGAAGGTGTCGGCCTAGGCCTGTCGACCCTCACGCCGCTGCGGTTGTCCCCGCCGTCGTCGCCGACCCTCGTTGTTGCCATTCTCGTCGCGAAGGTATGCCCTACACCTGTAGTAGTTAGTAGTAGTACTTAGTAGTGTTAGTAGTAGTTAGTAAGTAGTAGTAGTTAGTAGTTAGTAGTGTTAGTAGTATTGTTAGTAGTAAGTAGTGATAGTAGTAGTGTTAGTAGTAGTAGTGTTAGTGTTAGTAGTAGTTGTAGTGGTAGTAGTACTTGTTGTTGTACTACTTCGATACTTTCATCTGCATGGAAAGAGAACTAAAGTATATGGCTCGTCTTGGTATATATATGTTTGTTGGCCTTCGTGCCTATGTTTGGTATATATGTGGTGGTTGGCCATAGCGCCTACGTTTCTTGCAGGTTTTGGAAACCTCCCCGTACAGGGGAGGTGCTGCCGAAATTTTCAATGGATTCTAACCTATTGCCTTTTTATGTAGGAGAAGGACCCGTGGGAGGGACTCGGCAACCCCGATTGTCTTCATCGGCGCTGCTGGTCTGCCTGCACCGCATCGCCTCCCCACTGCATCGACACGCCACTGCCCCGCTAGCCTGACTCCACCGCCACCCTAGGTATAACCCCCTCCTCCTTTGCATGCATGTTTTATTTTGTCACGTTGCCCAGTTAGGCGTCTCCCGTTCGAAAGAGATACGGTCGGAGGTATGCAGATCTTTCCATATCTACGACCGTATCTCTTTCGGATTGTCCACGTATTTTGGACAGCCCACGGATGCGTAGATGAGGTTAGTTTCCATGGTTCGCTCTGGTCCGAGACAGACTTTCGGCATCACCTCCCTGTTGTTCTCCGGATACACACTCTCCCTTGCAGGACGTGTATCAGGAGAACAACGGGGAGGTGTTGCCGAAATTCTATCTCGGATAGGAGCGGAGCATTGAAACTGACCTCATCTACGCATCCGCGGGTGGGATTAGGACCTATCCTCACCTATTAGATGGTAGGAACGCCATGCAAATGCAATTGCTGGTTATATTACTCGCTTACATATGTATATGCCAAAGGATGGAGAATCGTGATTGGATGTACACGGGCCACGCAAGTATGACCCCAGAATGGATGACTAAGACTAATGCTTTCTTGGAGCATTCATTTGGCGAGGCTGCTAGAGGGTCGAGTCGGATGCCGTGTCCCTGCAGCAAATGTGACAACCGTGTAAGAAAGAATAGGAAGAACATGGGGGAAGATCTTTGCAAGTATGGATTCACGCCAAACTATACCTGCTGGATCCACCATGGTGAAGCCGATTGTATTAGAGAGGAGGTGGTGAGACCACGCCTCGAGGCTTTTGATGGAGATGCCGGGGTAGCAGACTGGATGGATGACTTTCAGGAGGCACGGTTCGGTGAAGGATTAGAGGACGAGCCAGAGGAATCCGCAAAGGCGTACTACGATATGCTGTCTTCGGCACAGAAGCCCCTTCACGAAAAGACAATGGTTTCGCAACTGGATGCCATTGGATGCCTAATGGCGTTCAAGTCGCAGTGTAGCATGAGTCGAGACAACTTCGATGGTATGTTGGCAGTTGTTGGATCCCTGCTTCCGGAGGGTCACATTCTACCGAAGAACTTGTACGAGTCATAGAAACTTCTTCATGCCCTTAAGATGCCGTATGAGCACATCCATGCTTGTCCGAATGGTTGCATCCTATTTAGGAAAGATCACGAGAAAGCAACGCACTGTCCAAAGTGCAAATCCTCTAGGTATCTACAGGTCGACACTAGTGATGGCAAGAAGGAACAGCTTGGTATCCCCGTGAAGGTCCTACGGTACCTTCCTGTCATACCAAGGATCCAACAACTGTACATGACAGAGGAGTCCACGAAACAGATGACATGGCAAAAGATACAATGCTGACAAGATGGTACACCCATCGGATGGCGATGCATGGACCCATTTCGATGGCATACATCATGGTAAAGCTGAGGAGGCTCGGAATGTACGTGTAGCGCTGGCAACAGATGGGTTCAACCCCTATGGATTGCTGGCGGCCCCGTACACTTGTTGGCCCGTGTTCATGATCCCCCTCAATCTCCCCGGTGTCATGTTTCAACCCAAGAACGTATTCTTGTCACTGATAATTCCTGGACACCCGGGGAACAAGATGGGTTTGTTCATGGAGCCTCTCATTGATGAATTGATCCTTGCTTGGGAAAAGGGGGTACTGACATACGACCGAGCTACAAAGAAGAACTTCACAATGCATGTGTGGTACCACTACTCCCTGCATGACTTCCTGGCATATGGCGTATTCTGTGCGTGGTGTGTTCATGGGAAGTTCCCATGCCCAATATGCAAGACAACTGTGAGGTTCACTTGGCTGAAGAGGGGTGGCAAGTTTTCTTCGTTTGACCAACATCGTTAATTCCTCCCTCTTGACCATCCATTCAGACGAGACGTCAAGAACTTTAGGAAAGGGGTTCAAGTCACCGACCCTACACCTCAGATCATGACTGGTGCCGAGGTCCGTGCTGAGATAGAGGCTCTCAAAGATGATAAAGAGAAAGGTGGTTTTATTGGATATGGTGAGGAACACCAGTGGACTCATAAATCGGGCTTGACTAGGCTCCCCTATTTCAATGACCTTCTTCTTCCACACAACATTGATGTAATGCACACAGAAAAAAATATCGCCGAGGCGCTTTTTGCAACACTCATGGACATTCCTGATAAGTCAAAGGACAATGTTAAGGCTAGACTAGACCTGGCAACGATATGCGATAGGCCAAAGCAAGTGATGAAGCCTCCCGCGCCCGGCAAGAAATGGAGAAGGACTCCGGTCGATTTCATCTTGAAAAAGGACCAAAGGAAGGAAGTACTGCAGTGGATCCAGACGGTA